AGATAAAGATGAAGTCATTTGCAAATATAAAACTGTTTTTAAAGCTGATGGGATGGTAATTTAAACAGAAGAGAAAACATTTGTTTTGCAGGGAATTATATAAGTGGACAGACTTGACTGTTTTTCCCTCTTAGGGTGAAATAGTGAAGAAATATACCCAGCTCAATCCTAAAACCTATGAGGACAGAATAGAATTGATCCTCAAGATGTGTATGGAGGCTGCATCAGAAGCTGTACATCTGAACTGCAGAATTTTGGGAGTTGGTAAGTTAATGGGTATTCTTCCAAAACTTTAACTACTAAATAAGATTTTCAGTTGTGTTAATTTAAAAATGCTTTTCAAAGTTGATCCTTGTCATTTTCACAGCTTTTATTTTGACAGTTTTATTCTATTTAGTGAGTATGATAACGGACTCTTTTTAAATGAATATGCAAATGAGTTGAAAGCACTGACTATAGTCAGATCTCTGTCTCAATACGAACTGTGAAAGCTATTCACAAAGCTATGCCAATACATCTCTGTCCCAGCCTACAACAGTTATGTATAGTTTAGAGATGGAAGCAACTAGTTGACCATCCAATAAGCAAAAGCTTATTGGATAGTCATCTAGTCCCTTGACTAGTTGCTTCCTTCTCTCTTGCTGCCTTTTAGGCAGCAAGGGGAGGGGAGGGACAGCAGGAGCCGGTACTGGGGGGGAGCTGACTTAAAAGCCAGTTCTCCCCTGCAACGTCTTCGTGGGGGCATGGGAGGCCGGAGGTAGCAGGGACCGGGTGCAAGCCAGGAATCATCTAATTCCCGGCTCACAGCCAGTCCCAGACGCTGTGTCTCTCCTTTTAAAAAAAGTCAGAAGCACAGCAGGACGACCTGGCATGAGCTGGGAATCAGCTGTCCCAGCTCATGCTGGTGTCCCCTGCTGCGCTTTAGCCTTTTTAATGTATTAAGAGCCTGTGTGGGGGGACCCAGCGCGAGCCAGGACAGCTGACTCATGCTGGCCTTCCCTCCTCCCCCGCTGCGCACCAGCCTTTTAAAAGGTGGAGCTGCAGTGGGGTTAGGTCCTGGCCTGGAATAAATTGATAAGTTGGCTTATCAACCAATTTGACTAGTTGATGAAAATTCATCAACTAGTTGATCAAACTAAATTTAACATCCCTCGTATAGTTTTTCCAGTGTTGGCCATTTCATAAGAAGAACTTGCTAATTTTCTGTGCAGCTTGATTCTAGGGCCATGATTCTGACCAGCACTACCTGGCTGATGTTGCTGAGGAGATACAGTCCTGAGAGTGGTGGATGACAAAGGTGGTTTTTTAAGCTGCCTTGATGCTGGGGCCCAGCCCCAGAATTTGGAAAGCATAAGTTAGAGCAGCCCTTGAAGCTGCCAGGGAGACAGACACTTCCTATAGCTGTCTGTGGCAAATAACTTGGGTGTCTGCCAAGCCCCTTGACTCACCAGAATCCCATAAAGAAGCCAAAACAGTCCAGAAGTGATGCTTATGTCTGCAGAGCTGGAAGGCAAGATAGTTTTACATTTGCTATTTCACTGTAGCAGGAATCCATTTAAAATTGTTTTGTTTATACTGTAACCGGTCCCAGCTTCATTCTGCTTAATCTGCTGCATATTTTAGAGAGTTTGTGCATCTCTGTCTGTGTGTTTGACCGTGAACTCCAAAACAGTAAGAGCTAGGACAATCAAATTTGGTAGGCAGCTTCCTCTTATCATAACGTAAAACGAGGTCAGCGTTTGGTTGTGCCAGGACAGTGGGGTGTGCCTGGAATGCGATAGTTTCACATCAAGCAGAGAAGGGGTGTGATAGGAGGAACAGTTATACTCACGAATGACCACAGGAGGCAGCCCTAGATCTGGGGCGCAGCCTTTGGCAAGCAGCACAACCCCCATCACCCTGACCTGCACAGGGAAGCAGTTGCTGTCCCTGGGCCTCGGTGCCACATAGCCCCCGCCACTCCAGACCAGCCCTTGGTGCGAAACCAGTGGATCCCTTGCCCTGCTCTCCTTCCGCTCCTGGGGAGAAGCTGGCAGGTGGCCTGTGCAGCACCCCTTCCATCCCGGGTTGGCCCTGGACCTGGCCAGTGCTGGCTAAGTCTTCTAGTGACTAACTGAAAGCTTTATGCAACATTTATTTTAGTGGACAGGGTTCTGTTTGGCCAAGATGGAGTGCAGCTCTAATATTCTGGATAAAGGGCAAGTTTTGACCTAAATCCAAAATTCTGATGTAGATTGAATGATAGAAAAATGTTATTGTCAACTTGTACAAGTGCAGACCCTGGTTAGCCCACTTGTGCCTTTATTTACCTCTTGTACCCCCTTGGGGGCGGAGGGTTGAGAGTCCAACTCGTGCCAAGTCTCCTTGTATTAGTCCTCTCTATTGCATTCCACTCCATGGGCCAGCCGGACCCAAATGTGACCAGGGTTTCTCGCACCGCCTCCGACAGCAGGGAGAGGGGGGTCTGGGCCCGCCCTCACTCACGGACCCCAGCCCAGAGCCCTAAGGACGTGGACCTGTTTAGGTTCAGTCCGGCTGGCGGACTATAATGCCCTGCCCTGGGCTGCTTCCTCTCCCCTTACCTGGTCCGCTGACCAGTCAGCGCCGGGACGTCTGCCTCGCCCCGTCCCTTCAGGGTCTCGCTTGTGGTGCCTTGGGGATTCCCCGGGAGGTGCGACCCCATGGTGCCTCCACCCCTTTTCCAGTCTCGCTCCCCACTTGCCACGAACGCCGGCTCCTTCTGAATCCTGCCGCCCTGGCATTGTGTCATTCTGGCGGCACGAGAGCACGCCGCATGTGCTCCGTCCGTGCTCCGCCCCCACCCTTGCTTGGCCGGGGTTGGGGGGTTTAAAATGCGGCGTGGCGGCATTCCGCCTGGCACGGCACGTGAGCACACTGCGCCTACTCTCCCCGTGTCCCACCGTGCCCCGTACATGGCAGGTGCCGGGGGACTTGAAATATGGGGCTGCGGCACCCCGTCACACAACTCTTGAAAATTCTTATTTGTCTTAGTGAGCTTGAAAAAACTTCAGTGTAGAGTACATGAAAGCAAAAGAAGCAATTATACACGTATTATCCAGGTCCCTGAACTGAAGGATTACAAAAAGGCAATTTATAAATTCTTTATTGCAAGTTGAGAGAACTTTTTAAAGAAAATGTTACCTTAAATTAGTATACTACTGTATTAAGTAACAGAATCTTTTTGAATGTTAGTAAACAAAAAGTTTAGCTTGGAAATTAGGAAAAACTTCCTACTTATCAGGGTGTTTAAACACTGGAACAAATTGCCTAGGGAGGTTGTGGAATCTCCATCACTGAAGATATTTAAGAGTAGGTTGGATAGATGCCTATCAGGGATGATCTAGATGGTGCTTGGTCCTGCTGTGAGGGCAGCGGACTGGACTTGGTGACCTCTCGAGATCCCTTCCAATTCTAGCGTTCTGTGATTCGATGAGGAATTTACTTCAGTATAAAACAATTGTGAGGAGTCACCATACTTAAGAAAATAAAATACTATTTTTCTACACCTGACACAATTTAAAAAAAAAAGATGTATTTTGTAACTCAGTTCAGGACTTTGTTCCAGTCATCAAGTTCACATGAACCTTAAAGTAACCTTGAAGCTGTTGTATTCTTAATGATTTTTGTTGTTTTGTAACTCTTAGAATAAAATTGGAAATAAAAAACATTGAAATCAATTAATAGATATGATGTAAAGTCAAAAGAATTAAAGAACACCTGCAAGGATGTTTTCTGGAATGCTGTGACATCCATTTAAAGGAATGGCAAAGGGGTGTTCAGGTGATTTTTCAGACTCGTGCATATACTTCTGAGTTCACCTCTGCTATTCAAGTAATAATACATTCCACCCACAGCAGTAAGCTATAGAGCAATGCCTCTTCTGTTTCTGCTATTGCAAAGTGGTTTCAAAGTTCTTATTTGGTCTTATCTTATAACCTGCAAGGTATAAATAATATCAGTCACTTAAAAAGTAAATTAATGGTGGGCTAGTTCCTGCACTGTTACAGCTGTATATTCTTCACTGAACTTGGCTCAGTGGCGTAGATGGTAACAGAGCAGATTTTGGAAATATTTGCAATATTGGGAAAACAGGACTTACCTGACAAGTATGCTTCAGTGCATTGATGGTAGATGTGATATCAGCACAATGTATGCTAGGCCATCATGCCAAGTTGGTTGTTTATCTGCAAACATGCAAAATGGTAATTTGTTTAAATGCCCAAAAGCAAATTGTGACTTTTTTTCAGAACATATTTGTGAATCGTCTTTCTGGCAGACATTGTGCGCCAAAATCTGTGCTGACTCACTCCCCATGCACCGGGCATTCATGTGCCTGTAAGTCACTGTAGAATTTACCCCGTTATCTAGAACTCCTTACTTGATACTTAAATAGTGCAGCGCAAAAGATCACACATTGAGACTGTCCAAGATGCAGAAACAGTGACTGAGGTTGGTGAAGTGACGTTAGGGATGAATTTTGGCCCAGGAGGACAAACAGACCTGGTGTGAACAGGTCTGATGTATCTAGAAGTCTCCTGGCCAAATTCAGCAATGACTTTAATAGTAGCAAACTTCAGACACTGAGTGCAAGGTGGTCAGAAATTGGGTACAAGTGACCAAATAGTTCAGTTTGCACTGATAGAACATTCAGTGGGTGTGCAAGAGATGTGTAACTTACATACTGAAAGGGAGGAAAGATATTGGAAAAATTCTTTCAAGATAAAAGGGTTAATTTCTCCAGTTCTGTGCCCCTTGTCACTCTCTGCAAGGATGTGTATAGTATGTCCGATGCTAGCAGATCAGAGTGGTACATACAGTCCCCTATGGGATCCCACTTGATATGTCTTTCTACTTTGATTGAGAGCCACTCATGATTACTTCCTGGGAATCGTTTTCCAACCACTTATGCAGCTGTCTTACAGTAACTCTATGTAGGTTGCATGCCCCTAGGTTGTTTGAGTAGGTCATGCACAACAGTATTATACAGGTTTTTTTATATATGGCTCAGGAGAGGTTCAGAACACCCCTAAAATAAGAAATTGAATTTTTGCCTGCTAATGATAGCTGGGACAGTGAGCGGATTGACAAGGGTGCTTCAATTCTGTTACATCATTTATGGCATGAAAAGAGAACTATGTTGCAAGTGAGGCTTAGGAGAGTTTTCTTTAGAGTATGCAATCTAGCAAAATAAGCGTCCTTTTCCGCCCCAGGAGAAAATAAATTATAGTTCCAGAGTTATGTAGCCTTACCCTTGGTTTTTCTCTCTCCTGTGTTTTGGCACTCAGGTATTTCTACAGGTGGACGGGTGAATCCCCGAGAAGGAATCGTGCTTCATTCCACAAAACTCATTCAGGAGTGGAGCTCTGTTGATCTGAGAACTCCGATATCTGATGCTCTGCACTTGCCAGTCTGGGTGGACAATGATGGCAACTGTGCTGCTCTGGCAGAGAGGAAGTTTGGGCATGGAAAAGGAGTGGAAAATTTTGTAACGCTAATCACTGGTACAGGTAAGTG